GAAGCTGGGGCCCCCACCCTGGGCACCGACAGGGGGAAGGCCGGGACCCCCACCCTGGGCACCGACACGGGGAAGGCCGGGACCCCCACCCTGGGCACCGACACGGGGAAGCTGGGGCCCCCACCCTGGGCACCGACACGGGGAAGGCCGGGACCCCCACCCTGGGCACCAACAGGGGGAAGCTGGGGCCCCCACCCTGGGCACCAACAGACGAGAGACGGAACAACAAACAGCACAGCCACCCATGCAGGCTCGGGATTTACAAGTTTAATCTCACGGACAGAAATAGACTCGGCCCCAGCACAGCTGCAGGGCACACATTCTTTTCAACACGCACAGCGCACTTGAGAACTGGCCGCCTCTCGGGCCGAGCAGCGGGTCTCAGTGGACTGTGAAGGAATCACAGGGACTGCGGCCCTGCCCCGAGCGTAGCCGGGGAGGCCAGGCATCCACGGTAAACACACAAGGAGCAAAAACAGCTGCCGGGGTGTGGAAGAAGAATTCTAAAGTCAGCTGCCTCTTCGTTAAACAGTTCAGACGAACCAGAGGGGCCTCGGGCGGCCCGGCCACCCACTTTAAATCCTCCTCCACACGTGGACTTTACAAAGTGCTTCGTCAAGCGCCCGCCACCCGAAGCACACCGATCAAGGCGAGGCCCTGCCTCCCGACAAGCTATTTCTGTTGAGGGCACGGAGACGGCAGCTCCCTGACTCGTCACAATTCCAGTGGCCACAGATACGTGTCGCCCTCCCACAGCACACCCACAGTGTTGCAAAACACGTCCATATACGACCAAACACAAAGGCTGAGCCTAACACCGATATGCCGCCTGTTGCAGAAACAGAAATTCAAGCGCTTGATGAGTGCAGGTGAATTTCCCGAGAACACAGGCCACGTGCAACTGTCACACGTCCTCTGGCGACACCAGCCGCGGGCGGGACCCCCGCGTGTGCAGAGGGTGCGCACAGCAGGCCGGGCGCGGTGACCAGCAGGAAGGACCCTCGCCCCAACCCCAGCGGCACCAGACACCACGGTCAAGGCCACAGAGGAGGTGCCGGAGCAGCAGGGGGCCGGCGGAAGGCACGCTCAGTAGAGGCTGCAACGCACAGCCGCGTCCCCAGGAGCCCCCAGCCTGCAGCGCGAGGCAGAAGCACGGGAGGCTGTGGGATGGGAGGAGGGGTTCGGCCGGGACCCACACTCATGGACTCCAGCCGAGCCCCTCGCCCACCCAGATGGCGGCCACCCCCTGGAAGGCAGGGCCCGCTGCAAGCTCTGAGCATTCTTCTCCGCCCAGCACTCGACTGCCAGGGACCCTCTGCGAGGGCTGGTAGAGCGCTGCCAGCTACACGTGCAAACCACACGCCGGACGGCTAAACACGGAGTCAAAAACGTCGGTGTTTACACAGAGGAGCCGAACACGGAGGCGAGAGAGTCAGGCCCCACGTGTGGGTTTAAAAATCCCCTCTCCAGCAAAGACGGAGAACCGCTGTGGAGGGATCAACACGGAAACGCAGCAGGTCCAGGTGTCTGAGTCGGCCAGAGCTCACGGGGCTAACGTTCACTCAGACACACGACTGCGGCCGAGCCACGGGGCCTCGACGGACGCCGAGAGACACTGGGGGTGCCCTGCACCCACCCCTGCAGCCCAGGCGCTGGCACCTGCACCCACCCCTGCGGCCCAGGCGCTGGCACCTGCACGCATGGCTGCAGTGAGGTGTGAGTCTCCATAGCGCTCGGAAGGCTGGGCCGGGGGACGTGGGGGTCATTCTGTCCACCAGCCGGGGGGGACAGTGGATGCCGGGCACCACAGCGAGGGGAGGATCTGGCCCCTCCCTGCGACCACAAGCCCCTGGCGGATACTCCTGAGCCTGGTCTTGTGTGTGGGTATTCCCGCCCGGGCTTCTGTTTCCTGTTAACCCCCCGCGCTGCGCTGCGGCTCCCTGCCAGGTGGGGAACCCGCTCTACCTTCTCCCTGCCACTGCCCAGGGAGCGGCATCCTGGGCGGCATCCCGGCCAGACCAAAGGCTGCAAGGGTTCTAGCGACCACGGGCCCTGGGAGGGGAACGGCACGTGCTCTGGCGGTGAGAGCGGGTGCGTCGGGGATGCCCAGAGCCCAGGCTGCCACCACGCCGAAGTCGGCTCCAACCACAGCGGGGCTGCCGCGTCGGGCACGGCGCTTTCAGCCGTGGACGGTGCTGTGCAGGGTCTGTGCGTCCGCCCGAAGGACCCCGTGGGGACGCTGGACAGTGTCTGTGTGACCAGGACCGGTGAAGAGGAGCATCTGTGTGTGAACCAGTGTGTGGGGAGCGGGAGGGTCACTCCCCAGGCAGGGAGGGCCAGGCTGGGGCAGCACAGCTGTCCTGGGCTGGGAACAAGGTCTGAGCGGTCCTGCTGTTGCCCGGGGACAGAAGGCCCGAGAATCCCTGGGCACAGGCGCAGGCAGAGTGGCTCCAGCAAGAAGAGCTTGGCCAGGCAGCTGCATGGCCACGCTCCAGGTACACGCTGGGTCCTACAGTGAGAGCGTGTGCGCGTAACACGCGGTCATCACACGGGGCTCCCCGGACCCACGGCGAGAGTACGTGCAGCACGCTGTCGTCACAAGGGGCTCCCCGGACCCACGGCGAGAGTACGTGTAACACGCGGTCGTCACACGGGGCTCCCGGACCCACGGCGAGAGTACGTGCAGCACGCTGTCGTCACAAGGGGCTCCCCGGACCCACGGCGTGAACGCATGCTGTTCCCCTCCCAAGGCCGGCGGTCACTGAGCCCCCCAAACCGGGTATGGTTTGGCAAGGATGCCGGTGACTGGGAAGTGGGCAGTGACCGGGAGGAGGAGGAGCCGGGGTTGACCAGCCGGGCAGGGAGCATCCGCCAGGGGGTTTGCAGGAACAGAAGCCCAGGCGGGACGTCTGCACATTCGGAAGAACAAGCTCAGGAGCACCCACCGGAGGCTCGTGGCTGCAGAGTCTACGTTAGCCGCGGAAGAGGCTGTGCCTGTCACGGGACCCCTGAGACAGCACCGTGCTGCCCAGCCTGCAGCGTCCCAGGGCGGAGGCGCGGCCCCCAGACACGTCCAGTGGCTCCAACACCGATGCTCCCCGACAACCCTCCTGAGGGTGTGTCCAACTGGGGGGACCTGACAGAGCCCACGCTCACGCGGGGAGTGAAAGCAGCCAGGAAACGCCCGCTTGTCTCCCAGCACCGCCCCCACACATACCCCAAAATAAGCCCGTGATTCCTCCGCCACCCCTCAGACAGCACGCATTTCACACAACGTCTGTCCTCACTCCCTGAAAACGTGGAAACCGATTCTCTGTAAAACGAAACAAACTTCTGTAAACGGAATTCACGGTTTCCCAAAAAGTGACTTTTAAAAAACAAACAGTCCTGCCAAAACGACGCAGACTGTGGGGAACGGGCTCTGCCTCCTGGAGGTGGACGCTCAAGTGCATCGTCACCCCAGCCCCCCGCAGAAGAGCCAGGGCCCAGCCCCCCGCAGAAGGGCTGCTTCATCCAGCCACGGGCGAGCTCATCACCTGACTCTGCAACCAGCAAACACGCACCTGCCACCGTCTAACGCAAATCCCGCACGGGGCTGATTCTCACTCTCAGGGTCTGCAGGTTAAGACCATTGTAACAAAACCAGCCTCGCCCTTATCCACTTACAGGCAAAATGTCAAAACCTGGAAGACAGAGGTCAGACAAATACTCTGAGGGAGTGTAAAACCTGATGTGATCTGAGAGAAAAAATTTCAATTAAAATATCAACAGAAAGAAGTGGGTCTCCCTCCCCCTTCAAGCAGGATGCTCTGGTTCAACTTGAGGTTTAGGCCACCAGTTCCAGACTCCTGGAACCAAGCGTGAAAAGTGGGTCTGATGGACCCCGTGGGTGTGAGGCGCCCCCGCCACGCACACCCTGCCTGGATGAGACTCGGATCAGATTCGGCCACAGCCAAACCCTAAGCTCTCAAATTATATCGGGGCTGTCCCGGGAAGACTTACACGTTTAAACCACATGATACTCGTAAAACTAACTTATACAATATACACGGCGTGCACACACAAATGTTACTTCCCTGAGCACTAATGAGAACTGAGATTAAATTTCAAAGCCGGCTGGGGCGGAGGCTCACGCCCCCAATCCCAGATCCAGGTGGGTGGATCACCTGAGGTCAAGAGTTCAAGACTAGCCTGGCCAACATGGAGAAAGCCCGTCTCTACCAGAAACGCAAAAACTAGCTGGGCCTGGTGGCAGGTGCCTGTCATCCCAGCTATTCGGGAGGCTGAGGCAGGAGAATCACTTGAACCCGGGAGGCGGAGGTTGCAGTGAGCCGAGATGGCGCCGCTGCACTCCAGCCTGGGCAAGAGAGAGGCAACGTGTCAACATAAATAAATAATAAATAAAAGTAAAAATAAATAAATTTCAAAGCCGGCAAGTGACTGAGTGAAACCACGCTGCATAAATAGCACGGTATGTGAGCGATATCTCAACCGACTCTTTTAAAGCAGTTAGCCAGTGGGAAGGAACGCGGGGCATTGCAGTAACGCCGGGGAAGGTTCACCCGCCCGACGCCTTGACAAACGGTGAAGGAGTTTCCCGGGGTTTGTTACCAGCGGCGCAAGGTGTTATTTAAATTAAAAATCTGCCTGCAGCGATGCCTCCCAGGCACTGACGGTTCTCACCCCCGCTCCCCCCTGCCTTGGTGGATCCCAGCGAGGCGCGCACTCACAGCCAAAACTCCCGGGAAAGAAGCGGGGGCTCTTTCCAAAACCCGGGTTTGCTAACAAGCTTGGCACAGCTTTCCAACGAGCAGCACCCGGTTTTCGGCGGTGTGTGCGGCCCGAGCGGGTCCCCCCGCGCCCGCGACTGGTGCTGAAAATCTGGGGTTCGGGCCCCGCCACGCGACAGCGGGTGCACGGCCAGCAGCGGCGAGGGGGGCCCGCGCGGGGCCGGGAGGCCTCGCCCGGTGTGGGGCAGCCGCGGGGCGCGCGGGGCTGACCTGCTGGAAGGCCTTCAGCCGCTTCTTGAACCGCGAGGGCAGCACGAAGTCGCAGCCGCGGGCCAGCGAGGCCAGCTCCTGGCGCAGGTCGGGGTCCTGGCGCAGCGAGCGCTCGCGGAGCCGCATGCCGTCGGCGCGCAGGGCTCTCCGCGGGCCGGGCCGGGCGCTGCGCTCTCGGGGCAGGGCCGGGCCGGGGCCGGCGGGGCGCTGCAGGCGGGGCCCGGGCTCAGCGCGCTCCATGCGTCGCCCGCCAGGCGCTCTGGGGCCGGGGCCCGCGCCGCGCGCATTCCTCTGGCTGAGGAGGGCTCATGGCGCCGGGGGTGGCGGCGGCCGCCCCTCCCGACCCGCGACTGTGCAGACCCGGCCGCCCCCGGCGCTGCTCTCCTCTCCTCCTTCTCCGCTCCCTGCACTGCCCTCCGCTCCCCCCGGTCCTCTCCTCTCCTCTCCCAGTTCGCTCCGGGCTGGGCCGTCCCGCAGGGCAGGGGGCGCTTTCTGCGCGGTCACGTGGCTCGCCCTGGAGCGCGCACCACAGGTCTCCGAGAGGAGAGCCCGGGCGGAGCGCGCACCAACAGGTCCCCGAGAGAGCCTGGGCGGAGCGCGCACGAACAGGTCCCCGAGAGAGCCTGGGCGGAGCGCGCACCAACAGGTCCCCGAGAGAGCCTGGGCGGAGCGCGCACCAACAGGTCCCCGAGAGGAGAGCCTGGGGACCCAGTCGAAGGCGCTCCCCCCGAGAAATAGGGTCCCCCCCCCGGCCCATGACAACACCAGAGCTGGCTGCAGGCTCGGTGCCCGCTCCGGCCCACCCCTCCAGAGCCCAGGGCGCGCCAGGTGCAGCTGCGCCTCCACAAACACACGCACGGCAGGCCCCGGGAGCCCCAGCATCAGGGCACGCCCGCATCTCCGCCCCTCCCCAAACTTGAAGAGTTTCTAGAATCCAGCTAAGCTGCAGTGGGCATCCAGGATCTCGTCTTCTCCGCCGCTGCTCACTGTGGTAACTGCACTGGCTTGCGACTGTATTCAGAACAAGAAAAGAGGGGCGGTGGAAAAGGGGGACGGGCCACGTTAACCGAGGATGAGCTGAGCTTCCGGGGCCTGCACCGTCATCCCACCGGGAGGGAGACAGGACACCTGCGGGCTGACGGTCAGAAACTGGCCACGTCCCGGGTCCCCGATCAGGAAGGTCCTGCGTGACCGCCTGTGCCCGTTACAGTCAATGAACCTCCCTGGACGGGTCATTATCACCCCGAGGCAACAGCGTGCACGGGGCTCTCCCGCTGCCGCACACTCTGTTGAGTCTGCAGAAACGCAGAATGACACGGATCTACCACTGTGTGGTCATGCAGAGAAGCCCCTGCCCCGAAAAACGTCGTGTGGCACCGACGCACCCCTCCCTCCCTCCTAACCCCCGATCTGTTTCCTGTCTCCATCGTTTTCCTTTTCCCGAGTGTCCTAGACTTGGAACCAGCAGTCTGCAGCCATCTCAGACTGGCCTCTTCTCCTGCAACCTTCCACACCACCTCTCACGCCCACCGCAGCTCCCCACCCTCAACGCCCCTTCCCACTCCTCTTAGGGGGACGCCCCTCTCCACGTCCTTCTCTTCCACCTCTCTCCCTTCTCCAGCCGTCCCTGCATCCCTCCATCCTTCTCATTTCCCTACTGTCCTTGAGGATTCAGAAGTCGGCCTCTGACCCCCTTTAAGTCTCCAAACAGAAGCTTAAAGACAGCCCCAGAGGGAGTGTGCTCAAACCACCAGGAGACGATTTAAATAAGTGCGCCCAGTCCTCCACGATGTGGGGTGCAAACTCACAGGGCAGAGGCGCCGCCCAGTCCTCCACGATGCGGGGCGCAAACTCACAGGGCACAGGGCAGAGGCGCAGCCCAGTCCCCAACCATGCGGGGCGCAAACTCACAGGGCAGAGGCGCCGCCCAGTCCCCCACGATGCGGGGCGCAAACTCACAGGGCAGAGGCGCCGCCCAGTCCCCCACGATGCGGGGCGCAGACTCACAGGGCACAGGGCAGAGGCGCAGCCCAGTCCCCCACGATGCGGGGCGCAAACTCACAGAACAGAGGTGCTGCCCGTTGAGTTCAGACCAGCACCACACACGGACGGCCTCCCAAACGCAGCTGGGGGAACCAGATTAGGAGCCAACCTCCTGCGATCTCCCTCCGAAAGTCAAAGATCAAACCCAAAATGCGGGGGCAGCCAGCCCATGGAGGTGCGATCCTCACGCTCAGGCCACGCGCCCCGTCCTGTCACGCCAGGTGACACACGCCCCTGCGGACTTTACTGCCACGTTTCCTCTTTCCGTACAAGGCTTTTGGAACACGGCCGGGCGCGGTGGCTCACGCCTGTCATCCCAGCACTTTGGGAGGCCGAGGCGGGCGGATCACCTGAGGTCAGGAGTTCAAGACCAGCCTGGCCAACATGGTGAAACCCCGTCTCTACTAAAAATACAAAAATTAGCCAGGTGTAGTGGCGGGCACCTGTAGTCCCAGCTGCCTGGGAGGCTGAGGCAGGAGAATCATCTGAACTGCAGCAGGTGGAGGTTACAGGGAGCTGAGACTGTGACATTGCACCACAGCCTGGGAGACAAGAGCGAAACTCCACCTCAAAAAAAAAAAAAAAAAAAAAAGGCAGGTCATCGACATGAAGTTCTTACTTCCCCTTGTAACAACTTACTTTAAAGGTGCATTTAGGGTGCCCCCAGCAGAAGCACCCTGGCTTGCATCATCAGCCCATCGATACTGGCATTTCCTTTCCTTTTCTTTTTTTTTTTTTTTAGAGACAGGGTCTCACTTTGTTGCCCCGGCGGGAGTGCAGTGGCACAGACATAGCTCACTGCAGCCTCGAACTCCTGGGACCCTCCTGCCTCAGCCTCACAAGCAGCTGGGACTTCAGGCATGAACCACCATGCCTGGCTGATTTTATTATTTTATAGACACGGGGGAGTCTCGCTATGTTGCCCAGGCTGGGCGCAAACTCCTGGCCTCAAGTGATCCTCCCTCCTTGGCCTCCCAAAGTGCTGGGATTCAGCCACCGCACCCGGCCAACGCTCACATTTTCTAATTTGTACGACGGGTCTCTTCCCCAGAGATGGGAGGGAGCCATTGCAAGCACCGCTTTCAAACACACAGTGCAATCTCTCTGCTCAGGAACGGTGAAGGTGCAGATGACGTAAAACAGCCACGGCAGCGCTGGTTACGTCCGCTTTGAAAGTGCCACGTAATGTTTTCACAACGGACATGCCTTCCCTTTCACCTTTGCCTGGGGAGTTCAACGGACCTAGAACAAACCCTCCCGACAGCTCATACCCAATCTTGGACCTGTGTGGGTGAGAAAAAGCTGTTTCATTTATGAAAATCTTTTCCGCATCCCTTTTGTCCCAATGAACAGACACATCCTTCTAAGTTATTCACTTCTTGGACACATCCTTCTAAGTTATTCACTTCTGAAGTAAGCCACGGGTCCCAAACAGGAAGACACGTTTAAAGCAAACCTGAGGTCCCAGACAAGCTCAGTCACGGCCGCCACGCCATGATCCACACGCATCCTTCCTTCTGCTTCTCTCGTTAGACCACTCCAGTCGCTCAACACGACCTGAACATCTTACCCTTTTTCTTTTTTTCTTTTTTTTGAGACAGAGTCTCTCTCTGTTGTCCAGGCTGGGGTGCAGTGGTGTAATGTCGGCTCACTGTAACCTCTGCCTCCCGGGTTCTAGTGATTCTCCTGCCTCAGCCTCCTGAGTAGCTGGGATTACAGGCACGCACCACCATGCCTGGCTCATTTTTGTATTTTTGGTGCAGATGGGGTTTCACCGTGTTGGCCAGGCTGGTCTTGAACTCCTGACCTCAGGTGATCCACCCGCCTAAGCCTCCCAAAGTGCTGGGATGACAGGCATGAGCGACTGTGCCTGGTCTCATTTTCACACTCTGCCTGTCATCCCTCCTGGAGCGGCCTCCCTTGGTCCTGCCCCCCCATACCCAATAAACTCAGTGCATTTCCCAAGTCCCGCTACTCACTTCCTCCTCAAAACTTTCTCCAGGAGAGAAACGACCTCTCCCTGCTGTGAACACCTTCGGAACTTAATTTCCTCTTGTTAGAGGCTTGTTGCCCGACGTACAGAATGTATCATCTTTTCCCATGCACCCAGATGGCCTTGTTTGCACAGACCTGACCTTCTGTCGATATTCCCAGCCGTAGGAGAATTCATGCAAAGTCACAACATTCAAGCATTTACCTTAGTGTCTGGCTGTCATTCAACACGTTTAACGACAAAATGGCAGCTCATCGGCAACCGGGAGAGCACATTGGGCCGGAGCTCAAGAGATGCGTCCTGGGGCCCTGAGTCCCCTCCTGGATCGGGATCGGGAGGGCCTGAGCCAGGCGGTCTCCAAGCTGCCTCCATTTCTGGTTCACGTTTTCATCCACACGTACTTTTGGAAAACGTTCTAGATCGATCAGAACACGTCGGACAACCACCAGGAATTTAGAACCCAAGGAGCTCACCTCGGATTGCCACCCACCTCTCCCTCAGCAAGTAGAGGCTGGACCATTGGGGCTGGAAAACTATGGTGCTACATAAATAATCACTGCGTGACATGCTTATTAGTGCTGCTGATGGGAGGCTAGTGTTGAGCTGAAAAAATTTCAAATGGTATAAACAAGTTCCAAGGGAATATTCTGAGTATTTCAGGCTTAAACTGCATAATATAAAACGACAGGAAGCATTTTTAAAAATACACTGCTGTCGGCGGGCACATCCCAGCACCTTGGGAGGCCGATGTGGGCAGATTACGAGGTCAAGAGATTGAGATCATCCTAACAAGGTGAAATCCCATCTCTACCTAAAATACAAAAAAATAGCCAGGTTTGGTGGCGGTGGGCGCCTGTAGTCCCAGCTACTCGGGAAGCTGAGGCAGAATGGCGTAAACCCGGGAGGCGGAGCTTGCAGTGAGCCCAGATGGTGCCACTGAACTCCAGCCTGGGCGACAGAGCAAGACTCCGTCTCAAAAAAAAAAAAAAAAGAGACTGATTGCAGTCACTTTATCCTGATAACCACCTACCACGGACTGGTTCTGGCAGGTTTAGAGGGGCTGCAAACTTGCTTCACCTTTTGACCTGGGGGGGCCTAACTATACTGCCTTTAAATGTTAAGTCTCCACTGCAATATCAACTTGGGAGTAGGTAACATGCATATTTGTTCAACACCCATGTGTCAGGACTCCCTTGGTGAAAATCCATAGCGCTTCCTGTAACTTCTTGCATACATACACTTGGCCAACCCACTGAGCATAAATTCCTGTCTCATCTTTTCTTCCCCCCAAGTGCTTGCTTTTAGTTTAGTTTTGTTTTGTTTTTTCCGAGATGGAGTCTTGCTCTGTTGCCCAGGCTAGAGTGCAGCCTCAGCCTCCCGGCTTAGCTGAGATTACAAGCACATTAGCCGGAGGCTGTGCGTCTCACCTGCAGTGAATAATCACCTTCTGTGAAATAAATGACGTTTAAGAAATACAGTACTCTGGGTAACACAGCAAGACCTCCTGTCTAAAAACAAAAACAAACAAAAA